TTGTGTGGTATTACAATTATGTTTGCCATTGTGTGGCATTACAATTATGTTTGCATCATGTGGCATTACAATTATGTTTTGCATCATGTGGCATTACAATTATGTTTGCATCGTGTGGCATTACAATTATGTTTGCATCATGTGGCATTACAATTATTTTTGCATCGTGTGGCACAACAATTATGTTTGCATTGTGTGGCATCACAATTATGTTTGCATCATGTGGCATTACAATTATGTTTGCATCATGTGGCATTACCATTATTTTTGCATCGTGTGGCACAACAATTATGTGTGCATTGTGTGGCATTACAATTATGTTTTGCATCATGTGGCATTACAATTATGTTTGCATCGTGTGGCATCACAATTATGTTTGCATCGTGTGGCATTACAATTATGTTTTGCATCATGTGGCATTACAGTTATGTTTGCATTGTGTGGTATTACAATTATGTTTGCATTGTGTGGCATTACAAATATGTTTGCATTGTGTGGCATTACAATTATGTTTGCATCATGTGGCATTACAATTATGTTTTGCATCATGTGGCATTACAATTATGTTTGCATCGTGTGGCATTACAATTATGTTTGCATCATGTGGCATTACAATTATGTTTGCATCATGTGGCATTACCATTATTTTTGCATCGTGTGGCACAACAATTATGTTTGCATTGTGTGGCATCACAATTATGTTTTGCATCAAGTGGCATTACAATTATTTTTGCGTCGTGTGGCACAACAATTATGTTTGTATTGTGTGGCATTACAATTATGTTTTGCATCATGTGGCATTACAATTATGTTTGCATCGTGTGGCATTACAATTATGTTTGCATCATGTGGCATTACAATTATGTTTGCATCGTGTGGCATTACAATTATTTTTGCATCGTGTGGCACAACAATTATGTTTGCATTGTGTGGCATCACAATTATGTTTGCATTGTGTGGCATTACAATTATGTTTTCTTCGTGTGGCATTACAATTATGTTTGCATCATGTGGCACTATAATTATGTTTGCATTGTGTGGCATTAAAATTATGTTTGCATCATGTGGCATTTCAATTATGTTTTGCATCATGTGGCATTACAATTATGTTTGCATCATGTGACATTACAATTATGTCTGCATCATATGGCATTACAATTATGTTTGCTTCATATAGCATTACAATTATGGTTTCTTTGTGTGGCATTACATTTATGTTTTCTTTGTGTGGCATTACAATTATGTTTGCATTGTGTGGTATTACAATTATTTTTGCAGCATGTGGCACTACAATTATGTTTTCTTTGTGTGGCATTACAATTATGTTTGCATCATGTGGCATTACAATTATGTTTGCATCATATGGCAGTACAATTATGTTTGCATCATGTGGCATGACAATTATGTTTGCATCAAGTGGCATGACAATTATGTCCACATCATATGACACTACAATTATGTCTGCATCATGTGGCATTACATTTATGTTTTCGTTGTGTGGCACTACAATTATGTTTGCATCAAGTGGCATGACAATTATGTCTGCACCATATGGCATTACATTTATGTCCGCATCATATGGCACTACAATTATGTCTGCATCATATGGCATTACAATTATGTTTGCATCATGTGGCATTACATTTATGTTTTCGTTGTGTGGCACTACAATTATGTTTGCATCAAGTGGCATGACAATTATGTTTGCATCATATGGCATTACATTTATGTCTGCATCATATGGCACTACAATTATGTTTGCATCATATGGCATTACAATTATGTTTGCATCAGGAGGCATTACAATTATGTTTGCATCATGTGGCATTACAATTATGTTTTGCATCATGTGACATTACAATTATGTTTGCATCATGTGACATTACAATTATGTTTGCATCATGTGGCATTACAATTATGTTTGCATCATGTGGCATTACAATTATGTTTGCATCAGAAGGCATTACAATTATGTTTGCATCAGAAGCCATAACAAATATGTTTGCATCATGTGGCATTACATTTATGTTTGCATCAGGAGGCATTACAATTATGTTTGCCCATAAATCATAAATATAACATATTTTAAATGCTTTATTTTGGCTGGAATTAATTTTCGCTGAAGATACATTTTGGCTGCTTTCTATAAAGTTTACTTTCACTTATTTTTGATAGTACAAAAATGTAGAATGGAAAATAATGGAAAAGGGATATTTTCACTCGATTTTATTTGCACTTATTCATCTCTTCAGAAAAAATAAAGAACTTTACAGAAGAGGAAATGCAAATGTGCTTCAGCTCAATTTCATACTCTT